AGACACCCTCCCCTCCACACATCCCCAAATACCACACACACACACACACAAACCTCCCATACCCACCCACATCCCCCACAAACCCCATACCCACCTACCCATACCCCCACAATATACAAGAGTAAGACTTCATTTTGAGCTATTATGCAATCACCTTTGTATATACTACACAAATGCACACAAATCAGGACAAAAATATTTTTTTAAATAAAATTAAAATGTTATTGTCAATGTTTGATTTTTGTGTGTGTGTGTGTGCACGTATATACACACGCACAAGACGGCAAACCCCTTTCCAGTGGGGATCAATGTTGTGGCATGAGAACCATTAATAATGGAAAGCGTTGAGTGATCTGAATGTAGGGATTGTCAGTGTTCTCAGTACATCATGAAGAATGTGATTGAAAACATAGTATACAGTCAGGGAACTATTCCAGCTCTTTTTCCTTTATATTCATGAGTCACTTGCTATTTATGACCATTTTCAGTTGGGCATCAAGACTAAGTTTATTTGATCTGAAACTGGAGAGTCTAGAAAGCATGATGATTGCTGTCCTTAAAAGTTACTGTTGCTTGAGTGCAAATCAATTCATAGCATTTCATCTTGTGGAATTGTAGAAAAATACATAGTAATGTTACTGTTGCATTACAGTAGTGTAATATAAATGATGTCAAAACTTTTGCCGCCAGAGAGATCCCTTGAGTTTCAACGAGCAAAAACAGTATTTTTCTTTTATGCTCCCAATATAGGCACGGCCAATGGACTATCCAAAGGACTATCTTTCTCACCAAATTCCAATATCATTTCACAAACACTGGAACATTGATCCAGTGAAGGTGTATTTTACATGGCTTGCACCAAATACAGAAGATTCCCTTAATGGAAAGAAACACAGACATCCTAAGGAAGATTTATAATCTGCAGAAGAATTTAAATATTAGCATACTGCAACTTTGGGATGGGGAGTCACTACTGCAGTTTTGTTGTTGTGTTGTATTTGTACTGTCTGTCTGTTCCTTGCCTAGAACAAATCTAATGTTTCAATCCAGATAGAGATTGATGTATATGTAGATGCGTGTTGCACTTGTTAGAAAAATAAATAATCAGCTTGATTTTTTTTTTCCATTTGTGGGATTTGAGGGGTTCTTTTTGGAAATCTCGTATGGATTTTGAGTTTTGTAACCATTTTTATTCCACTGAATTTAACCTTTACTTAGAGGTCAAGTCCAGTATTTTATCTGTTTTGTTTTGCATTTTTCAGACACCAGCAATTCATGTTTCTGTTTTTCTCACTGTTTAATAGTAGCCTAAATTCCACAATTTGGGATCTGATCCTAAAAAGTACTGACACTTCTAGCTCCTGCTGGTTTCAAAAGAACTGAAGGATTCCAGGAACCCCTTTGCATGAGCTCCTCTTGAACAAGAACGAGGCTAGCAAATGTGTTTGAATGATTATGGGTGTGGAGCGAAGACACTAAATACTGTACTTAGTGTCAGTATTGTTGATACTGTTTTTAAGTAAAGATCTTGTACATTCATGGGCTAGATGAGGATCTTTTTCTGAGTTCTAACACCTGTTGTACCTTTTAAAAGTTTAGCATTTATAAAGAAATACCATATAGGGAATCCAAAGCAAATGAAGATTAGGGATTCTTAAACTAGTCACAAGGTGTCACTGTTACACCTTTGAAAACCCTAGTGATCATATATGTATTGGGCAGTTATAAATGTTTGACTTAAGGAATTTTGAAAAACTAATGTGTTAGATATTTCTAATGTGTTCATCACTGTGCTGTGTAGGTACCAAGATAAAAAACTTTGCAATATCCCTAATTTATATCACCAACAGTATTAGTACAAAATAAGTCTAAGCAAATTTTATGCATAGTAACATGTAAAGAATGATGCCTATTTGATTTTTTTTTTTAATTTTCTATATGTAATTCAGTTTTGTATTTGTACAAAATCTGGCTTTAGTATGTTAAAACTAATTTTTCTACATTAACTCTCTTCCCTTTAAGACTACAGTATATAGTGCTTATATGCTGTTCTCTAACTCTGCTTGCTTATATTGTAACCAAATACAGGGTCTTAAAGCCATATTGCTGAAGTTGTTTATTTGTACATGTTTAAAGTATTTTTCTGTAGTTCATCACTTGATTGAGTTCCAAAGTCTTGCAATACTTACTCCAAGTCTGATGGGGAAGCAACTGGTTACTATTTCAGTAATTATAAAAGAAGTATGCACATTTTTGTGAATGTAGCTTGTGAATTTTTAAGCATATACATAGTGAGTATTCATAATGGATTAAAATAATGTTTAAACAGGAGTAATCCACAGTATGTATTTCTTCTTCCTTCCCACTTTCAGTGCCTTAAACAGTAGACATGTCTACTGATACCGGAGCTACATTTCTGGTACCATGGATGTTATTGTTAATTATGTTTACTGTTTAGAACTGTGTGAACCTAAATCTGAATAAAAACAGACTTGTTTAAATTTTTCTGTGCCCTGCTTGTCAGACCAAACACACTGGAATATGAAATTCCTTTGTCTAGTGCACCTTTTGGGAAATATAGCATAGGATCATAGAATCAATGAGTCGGAAGGGACCTAGACAGATCATCTAGTCCGACCCCCTGCCATGGGCAGAAAGGAGCACTGGGGGTGGGAGGGGTCATAAGATCCCAGCCAGGTGCCTATCCAGTCTCTTCTTGAAGATTTCCAGGGAAGGTGAGAGCACCACCTCTCTGGGAAGCCTATTCCAGGCTCTGGCCACCCTTACAGTGAAGTAGTTCTTCCTAATATCTAACCTAAACCTATCCTCCCTCAGCTTGTGGCCATTGTTCCTGGTGACTCCAAGGGGGGCCCTGGTGAACAGACTTTCCCCGAGTCCCTGCTGGTGGCCCCTGATAAAGTTGTAGGCAGCCACAAGATCCCCCCTCAGTCTCCTCTTGCAGAGACTGAAGAGATTCAAGTCCCTCAGCCTGTCCTCACAGGGCTGGTCATGGAGGCCCTCCTCTGGACCCTCTCCAGGTTCTCCATGTCCTTCTTGAAGTGCGGTGCCCAAAACTGGACACAGTACTCCATCTACGGCCTGACCAGCACCGCATAGAGGGGAAGCAAGACCCCTCTGGACCTGTTAGTGATGCCCCTGTCAATGCATGACAGGTTGCGGTTGGCTCTGCCTATTGTTTTGTCGCATTGGCGACTCACATTCTTCCTGGAGTCAATCCTGACTCCAAGATCCCTCTTTGCCTCTGTGCTGCTGAGAGGGTCAGCCCCTAACCTATAACCATA